CCGGCTGCACACAGGCTGGACCTGAGGGACGGCATCTGCACCCACGGACGCAACAGACACGCGTTTCTCTCCGTGACGCCGGCAACTGCGCCTGCACCTGTGAGCGCACGTCTACAGGGCGGACCGCGCAACCAGCAACCACTTATTGAATGAACAAATCCTTAACCAGTGAGAACAGAGACTCCATGCCCCCCCCACACACACACGCACACAGATGTGAAAAGCCAGTGCCGTCTACAGTCCAGCGAGGCACGGGAGGAGCCAGCTGGGAGTCTGCCGTCGCCGGAGGCCCACTGTCCTCTGAGCCACGGGCTCCAGGCTTCACGGTTCTGCTCAGCCCTTTAGCTCGAGCTCAGAACAAGCAGCGACACGTGGCAGGTGCCATGATGTTGGGGTGTTTTTGTAGGAAATCCACTTTGGGGAGAGACCAAGGCCCGGGCTGCAGTCTGGGCAGAGCCTGGGTCTTTCCCAGGGACTTAGGGCGAAGAAAGGAAGAGCATCCTGTACCTGAACCACCTGGTGCCCCCAGACCAGAGTCGGCTGCTCTGCCCGCGGGATCCCCTCTGCCCGATGGGGGCCCGGCTCCCGGAGACCCATCCTCGCTCGGAACCTCCGTGGAAAGGCCTTTCGGTCCCGGGACCAGTTCAAAGGGCGCTTTTGTCCTCCCCGTTCACTGGCAGCCTTTCCCTCAATAAACACTGACACCGAGTCTGTCGTTTTAAGAGGCGGAACGGCCACCTTTACCCAAGAGGGAGGCGCCTTTCAGTCAGTCCGTCAGCGTCTCGCAGCCAGACACGGACACGCTCTTACCTTCTTGGGGTCCATGTTGAACTTCTTCCTTCCCATGGCGATGTGCTTGTTCCTCTGAGACGTTTTGCTGTGCGTGGAAACATCAGGACACGGTGAGCGGATACTGCACCCAGCGCTGCAGCCCCGGGCCCCCAAAGCCCGCCCGGGAGGTGGCAGCAGCCCGGGGGGGGCTGCCAGGGCCCCTGCTTCCATCTGACGTCTTCAGGGATCGCTTCTGTGCGAGGCAGCGCCTTGAAGCAGCACGTCCCGTCCCACGAAGGTCCCCGCTGCTCCCGGGCAGAGAGGGACTGAGGGCCCGGTCCCAGCCTCCGCCCACCCCAGGCCGCTTACCTCTCCTCCACGGATGTCAGGTTGTCGATCTCGGTCATGACCTCGGCGATTTCGTACTTCAGTCTCTGCAAGAGGCAGGATTGGGAGGTGGGTGGGGGTAGGCCCTGGCCTCAGGGATGCCGGCCTCAAGCACTGCTTCCCCCTCCCCTGGGCACCGGGTGGACAAGCATTACTGACGGACACGTCGCCCCAAAGCAGGAGAGAGGCACTGCGCCCGGCCGCCGCGTCGCTAGGCGGGTTCTACAGTGTTCGTGGTGACATCAGGAAGAGACACTGGGGCCCGGTGGCGTGGCTCAGTGGTTGAGCATTGACCCACGAACCGGGAGGTCACGATTCAATTCTGGTCAAGGGCACATGCCCGGGTTGCAGGCTCAATCACAGTGGGGCGTGTGCAGGAAGCAGCCGATCCATGATTCTCTATCATCATGGATGTTTCTCTCTCTCTCTCTCCCTTGCTCTCTCTCTAAAATCAATAATAAAGAAGGGACACTGGGGAGGACATCAAGGTGTAAATGACAGAACAGCGAGAGGAGAGCAATGATACTTGGTCACTTGCTGCAGCCATGAACGTCAGCTCACATGCCGCCTGCTTTCTCCTTCCCCCTGCGGTCCCGGAAGGGGGGGGGGGGCGAAGCTCAAAGGCATTTAGAACAGTGTCCCTGCCCGCTCGCCCGCCCAGTCTGAGGCTGACCCATCACTTCCCATGGCTTTGCCTGAGACGAAGCACCATGGACAGAGCCGGGGGTGACAACAGAGCTTGCCCGTGGCCCTCGGACACGCCAAGGACACCAGAAGGGACACTCCCTGTCCCTCCACGTGGCTCCACCACCTACTGACCGAGAGACCTTCGTCACCCTCTTAACCTCCCAGGACTCAGCACCCTCAACTCAAAACCCGGTGGTGAGAGCTCCACTAGACTCCACAGGCACCAGCGTTGTAACGGCCACACGTCACCTTGAAACGGTCTCACTCTGCAGCTGCAGCACCTCCGCTGGGGCCCGTGTCTCCGAGGACGAAGGGCCACCTCGGAAGAAAAAGCCCTGGAGTTTCCGTCCGGCACAGGACAGCTTTGAGGATCCCTCCCATGCTGTGCGCCATGACCCTCAGACTGACCTGAGGGCTCCGGGAGGGAGGGGCTGTCTGGGCCAGCCTGCTGGCGGCCAGGGCCTCGAGGCCGCATTTCTTAGGCCTGGCAGCGACGGAGGCTCCGCAAAGGAGCTCCACACGCCCACCTGACTCCCAGGGCGGCCCGAGGGCAGCAGTGAGCCGTCTTCTGAATAATTTTTGCAATGGCTGCAGCTCACCCTCGCTGCTCCTGCGGCTGCCCCCGCCCTGCCCCGCCCCGAGGACACAGTGTGGGGGGGACACGGTTTATCTGCGTGTTTTCTCCACCTGCCTTCTCCTTCTCCCTGCGGTCCAGGAAGTGGGGGGCGGGCGGGAGGAGGCGAAGCTCAAAGGCATTTAGAACAGTGTCACTGCCCACCCCCCCGCCCGGGTGACAACAGAGCTTGCCCGTGGCCCTCGGACACGCCAAGGACACCAGAAGGGACACTCCCTGTCCCTCCACGTGGCTCCACCACCTACTGACCGAGAGACCTTCGTCACCCTCTTAACCTCCCAGGACTCAGCACCCTCAACTCAAAACCCGGTGGTGAGAGCTCCACTAGACTCCACAGGCACCAGCGTTGTAACGGCCACACGTCACCTTGAAACGGTCTCACTCTGCAGCTGCAGCACCTCCGCTGGGGCCCGTGTCTCCGAGGACGAAGGGCCACCTCGGAAGAAAAAGCCCTGGAGTTTCCGTCCGGCACAGGACAGCTTTGAGGATCCCTCCCATGCTGTGCGCCATGACCCTCAGACTGACCTGAGGGCTCCGGGAGGGAGGGGCTGTCTGGGCCAGCCTGCTGGCGGCCAGGGCCTCGAGGCCGCATTTCTTAGGCCTGGCAGCGACGGAGGCTCCGCAAAGGAGCTCCACGCGCCCACCTGACTCCCAGGGCGGCCCGAGGGCAGCAGCGAGCCGTCTTCTGAATAATTTTTGCAATGGCTGCAGCTCACCCTCGCTGCTCCAGCGGCTGCCCCCGCCCTGCCCCGCCCCAAGGACACAGTGTGGGGGGGACACGGTTTATCTGCGTGTTTTCTCATCATGCTGCTCGCACAGCTGGCAGGCACTGTGCACAGCTGGAACCCAGAGCGGTGCACTCCCTCAAAAGGTGCCGGTGCCCAAAATCGGCAGGCAGCGCGCTGGGTGCTGGGCTGCGCCCCACGGAACGGCCTCACCGCCGATTTAGAGAGCAATGCGCCTGCAGGTGGCTGCGGCTGTTTAAACAGACTTTCTGTTGTTGTTAATCCTCACCTGAGGATGTTTTTCCATTGATTTTCAGAGAGCGTGGAAGAGAGAGGGAGACAGAGAGAAAGAGAGAGAGAGAGAGAGAGAGAGAGAGAACTATCCATGTGAGAGAGACACGGGAATCAAACCTGGGAGCCTTCAGTCTACGGGCTGACGCTCTATCCACTGAGCCAAACCAGCGAGCGCTAGAAAAGACTTTTGGGACCCTGGCGCCAGGTGTCACTTCCTGTTGCTCCCGTGTGTGTGTTTGGGGGGGGTCTGTGGGTGAGCAGGGCTGCCCCCCCACCTGGAGGCTCTCTGCTCCGTCCTGTGTGGCCCCGATACGGACACACTAGGTACCCAGTGTTTACATGTTCATGAAGCTACGTGATTTACTATGAGCAAAAACGAGAAGATTTATTTTTACCTCGATGTCATCAATAAGTTCCTTTTTCCTTCGACGAATGTCTAGGAGCTCTTCCCGCTCTTCTAAGGAGAGGTCCTCAGGCACTGAAAGGAAAGCACAGGAAGCCGTGAACGGCCGCCTGGACAGCGGGTCCCTGTCCGAGGTGCAGCCGCCGCTCCACATGCAGGTGTCCCCAGGCTCCGGCGCCGCACTGGCCCCAACAGACACCCCCCCCCCCCCCCGATCCCACGGGCAAGAGGCAGAATCACGGCGCTTGTCCAGCAGAACCCCACGCAGTGAGGAAAAGGCTCAGCTCCGTCTGACAGAGACGAGCCTCACGAGCGAGATGGGGCCGGCGAGAGCAGCTGCGACGTCCCTGCTGCGACACCTGCCACAGGGCGGGGCAGCACGGCTCTGAGTGTTTGGGAAATGTGTGTACGTACAGCGTACAGCGGGACGTGGATGCATGTACAGGGAGGAGGAACACCGAAATCTCGGCGGCGGTCCCTCCTGAGAAGGCGGGTACCCTCGGAGGACGGGTGTCGGGTACCCTCGGAGGATGGGTGGCGGGTACCCTCGGAGGATGGGTGGTGGGTACCCTCGGAGGACGGGGAACCCCAGTGCAGCGGTGAGGGTGGCCGGGACGTGGAACATGGACCGTCGCTGAATGTTTTTTTTTAAAATAAATCTTTATTGTTCAGATTATTACAGTTGTTCCCCTTTTTCCGCCCCCATAGATCCCCTCCATCCAGTTCCCACCCCACCCTCTGCCCTTACCCCCCCACTGTCCTCATCCATAGGTGTATGCTTTTTGTTGCCGGGTCAAAGGTCATTAACATGGAAAATGTGTAGCTATTTATCCGCGACGTGTCCCTGTGTTCGGAAAGGTCTCTCACGACTTGTTCACGCTCTACTCAGAAAGGGTACGGAGACACGTAATGGTTTTTTAAAATAATGTGTCCTCTTATGTTTACAATGAGGATTTCGCTACCAAAAGCGAGGAGAAAGCAACACTACAGCTGCTCTCGCCCCTCTCGCCCTTCGGGTGATAGTTGTGAGTGGGGCCGCGCGCTGGTTCGCAGGCCGTCGACGAAGCCGGCTTCCCAGGGGCCGATGCAGCCTCGCAGGGGCCGTTGCAGCCTCACAGGGGGCGCCACATCCCACGTTGGGGGGCCGTATCCCTCTTTGGGGGTGAAGGTGCGAGTCAGAAGCTCCTCTCGCTGTCTCTCCTGCTGCTCCCTTGTGTATCGCCGATGCTGGAAGTGTCTGAGAGCAGTCTGCAGGTGCTGGACATCATACTTTAACTGGTCAATATGAAGTTTGACATTCTGTCTTTTGTTGGGCGGCTCCTTTCTGGACAAAATCTTCAGGCGTTCTTGCTGGCTGAATATCTGGTATGCTCTCTTGGATTTCGTTTTCTACTAAGTGCACTGACTGCTTGTCTGCCGTCTCCCGGCATCCCATGTGAGACTGGATCTGGTGGACCTGCTTGTGCGTTTGCTGGTACAGCGGTTCTATGTCACCGGCCCAGCCGGGTCCAGCTCTGGCTTCCTCTGAACCTGATTTTGCTTCTTGAGTGTGTCCCTTATGTATGCGAGGAGTTGAAATCTGCAGTTTGTTGGGTTAGGCTGCAAAAGTGCAGGTGGTTCCTTTTGTGCCACTGGCACAGCTTGGGTGGGGATGTAAATTGAGTGGGGCGGGGTCTCAGGGAGTCACCAGGGCGGAGCAAACAGCAATGGCAATTCCGCGACTCCTCGCCTCTCCGTGACTCCGTGACTCCGTGTCCCCGAGTGCCGGCGAGCAGCTCCGCGAGAAAGCCACCCTCGCTTTCCGACCCGCTGCAAGGCTGTCTCGCCTCTCCCTGTAGGGGTCTGGGGCCTCAGAACCCCGCCCCAAACAAGCTCAGTGGATTCGAGAGTTTGTAACCGCGCCTCCAGTTGCAGCCCGCCTGGCGCGCGACTCCGTACCTCTGTTCTTGGCGCCTCTGCACCTCCTACTCAGTCTCAATGCGCTTCTTTCTTTCCTTCCAGTTGTAGAACTTCCACTGGGCCAGCTTTTCCGTGGCTCTGAATGACAGCTGTTTTGTCTTATAGTGGGTATTTTCAATGTTGTTGTGGGAGGCAGCACGCACAGGTCTATACCTTACGCCGCCATCTTGGTTCTCCTGAATGTTTTTATTGGCACAGAGCTGTCCACAACAGCCTCTTACTAATGAGTAACCTCTGCAGCATTTGCCATTCCTGCTCGTCTGTATTCCTCTTTCTTCGATCACAGTCATGAACTGCTTAACGGAGGAGTCTTTGTCCACGTGGAAGCCAGACTGGCTCTGGGACTTCCTCTGACCAAGAGAAGGCGGTCCCTTTTAAGGGACACTGTCCGGGGTCCAGAGCCTCTGCTACCCTGGAACCCCGAACCACGTGCTCAGGGGAAGCCCGGCCAGCGGCCTGGGCGTGACATCTATTGTGGAAAGAAACCACTGGCAGAGAGAGCCCCAGACACCCCAGCTGTCACAGCCTCCTCGACTAAGGCCGCAGACAGGTGAGCGAGGA